TTCATTCTGAACTAAGTACCAGCACATTCTGACTGTGTGAAGTTTCCAAGGTAACTCAGTGACATCTCTGAAGGCTTAATGTTACAGCTTGCAAACTTAGAATGTTTAATTTACTGCTGTTGCTACGATCAACTTTGGCTAGAGTATAAGAGGAGGGAAACACCACTTCAGGAGAGTAAAATGCAGCCTGTAAAGGAAAACGTACACAGAGAATGTCAGATGACATTCAGGTTGCTATTTTGAATTGCAGATGTATCTACTGATAGCCAAAGCCACTTTTTACTTGAGTGTAATTTTTGTTGGCATAACAATTACGTGGCTGTGAAGATTATTTTTTAATCCCCTTTGCCTTCAGTATTCACTTTTGCTTCGTCAGTCTTTTCTTCTTGCATTATCACTCTGAAAAACAGATAATCTCTAGCTTACAGAAAACTAATTACATCACATTAACCTCCATCTTTAGAAATGCACCTTTCCCAGGCCAACCTTTCAAATCTGTACAAATTTATCAAGATCTCCAATTAAAACATAAACAAGATGAATGTCAATTTTCCAATCCACTGTCTCCAAGTTTTCCATTCCACAATAATACATGGAGCAACGCTACAGAAATACAAACAGCATTTTAAGATTTACCCTACAGACAAAAGGGAAAATAATTAAATACGGAAATGTACTTCAATTAGGACAAGCTCTGCTGCTGAAACTCCTGCTAACTTTGGCTCTTCATTCTAGTTAGACTGTAGTTACAGCCCAACAGGCTAAAAACTTTCTCCTAGATGAAGCTGTTCTGGGAAGCAATCCAATTCCAAATGTTTTATTTCCAAATGAAGAGTAGTGCAAAGCATACTCCATAAAGAAAGCCTTATCTAATACAGGATTTACATATCTCTAAATTAGGCACTGCAAAACCTAGCTTACAAGAACTGGCTTCCAAAGTGATGTAAAGCTCTCTGGGTGAAGCATCTGGAGACACACATGAGCTCTGGGCTCATACCATGCATGCCAGTAGGGAAAAAACAAACAAACAACAACAGAAACAAACAAACAAAAAAAACCCCATCAAACAACAACAACAAAACAATAAACACTGATAGAGCAACAAAGCTCAGCATCCTCCTCCAGAATTCAGACCGAACTACAAGATGAGAGTATAACATTTCTATCTCTCAAATGAAGGTGTCAGAAGGGATGCTTTGGAATATGTTCTATTTTAATATCTGGAAAACAGATGAAATAGTAACACTTGGCTCACATTAAACGTGGTACTTACACAGTGATGAGTTCAGGATACAAGTTCAGGATACACACACAGACTTTTCCAAGTAACTCAAAAATGGATTTGATTGTAAAAATATAAAGCAGCTGTAAGGACATGGAGCAATGTCCTACAGCACAGCCTTGTCTCTAAGTTTACTTGCCTAGCTGTAATCTACAAGGCAGTACTGGTGTGTGTGCACTTTTTTTCTGGTCCACCATCTTCCATCTCCAGAAGTCTAAATAGAGGCAATTAACTTTTATATACAGACTGCCTGGTAGCTTGGTATTCTTCACCCCTCATTCCTGGAGACTGAAGAAGCATTTCAGCACAGACAAACTAAGTGTCCTAACTATTAAATTATAACAGGCGAACAAGGCTTCCAAACTCACAATGTTTTGGAAGAACATGACAACAAGCACATACTGCTTCACAGTGTGTCCAGAACAAACTGACAAAAATCATACATTGCTGGATCTTTGACAACCCAGAGAGCCACGCAGCAGGCAATGCAACACGCCCAACTTACTATCCTATACTAATATACTACATGTGTATATATATATATATTATAATATATATTATATAATATATATTATATATATATTATATAATATGCTATACTAAAGATAGCAAAATATTATCTTTTCACTGGTCAACAGCTGCTGTTTCTGCTTAGAAGAAGGAAGCTTTTATTACCTACACTCGAGAGGAGTATTGACAACATACATTGAAACAATAACAAAAGCCTCAATATAAAGGGTGATGTGTAGCCTACACAAAGCAAAAAGATCAGGAAACATTCAAAAAGCTCTGACATTTCATTTCCAGCAGTGATAAACATGAAGAGAAATCTCAGTTAAGTAAAATCCCAAGTTCATGTGGGGATTACTGAATTACAAGCCAACAAAGAAGAGTGAGATAGTTCAAAACAGAGAACAGGGCAAAATAAATGCTAGTCGCTTTTCACAGTCTTCAGATTTTTTATTTTTTAATACTACCATATTTTGCTATTTATAAAAGCTTTCTAGTAGTATAGACAGTTTTACTGTCTAATTATACAATTTCTGTCTAAAAAGACCCAATCTAAAACTGCTGAATGGCATAAAACCAAATGCTTACATGAGTTTCAGCATCCAAAAGGAAAGGTGGCACCCATAGAAAAATAAACTTTACAAGAACTTCTGGGTGATCCTTGAGCTAAAGACCAGCAAATCTTACTTTTGCAGAGAGCAAATTGGTAGGTGCTACAGTGGAGGAGAACATCAAAAGACACGTTGATTAAAAGTATACACAGAAGAAGAGATGATGTGGCTTATGAGGAGGGATGCCATGACACAATCTATTGGATTCTGCCAAGGGCCAGCCAGCATGCAGATAAGTATGATCTAGTTCATATAATGTACTCTCATATATATCTTATATCTTATATATCTTATATATATATTTTAATAGAATCCCTCAAGAAAAGCCATTAAATTAGCTAGGCTCTCACATAACACTGGGGAAGGTTTTCCTGAGAGTAACTAACTGAGAGAGAAAACAAAAGGCAAAACTAAAAAAAAAAAAAAACAAAAAGAAATTGTACAGTGGGTAGATGCTATCTGTGAGCACTTCAAAGACCTATTCTGCTTTTTAATATTCCCAGTGGAAAAGAGCAATTAATAAGATGTTTCCTTTAAGTCATTTCATATGGTCTGAAACTAAGTGCTCCCCACTCCCCTCAAACCAGTGCTCTGCAGAAGCACATAACCATTATAAAATGCATCTGCTTAATAACAATGTGCATCAAATTAAAACTACAACCTGCTTGTCAAAATTAACAGCCACTGAATATGAACTGCAGAACCCCTGAGTCCTCACTGAACCCATGATAGATTAAAAGAGTGCAGTGACTTCCCTTAATTCTTCAAATTTAATTAACATCTGAATGTTTTCTTAAACAAAAGAACAGTCTTGGGATCTAAAAGATAATTCATGCTTTGCTACTTTGTTCTTGAAACACACACAAAAAAAATTAACATTGCATCATGTGCTATTTATTTACCTTGTTCACTTTCTAGCTTCTGCTTATCTTACAGAACTGACACAACCCTACCTAGGAAATTTCGTATCATACCTGTAAATATTATGGCTTTCCAAACAGGTCAGCTGGATTGGTCACAATCAAATCTCAATATTCTTTCAAAAAGGTTAAATGGCTTTCAGCTCATGAACACCAGTATTTCTTGGAAGTAATTCCATTCAAGTTATATGTTTTTATCTTTTAATTAAATGAGGAGAAAACAGAAACTGACATATTTAATTCCCACTATCAAGTATTTTTATGAGGAAAAAAATAAGTAGGACAGAATATTGTGGAGAAAACTATACAAAACACAATAGTAAGAAGAAAAAAAGAAAGTCACTTAGGATATTTAAATATTTAGAACTATATATAATTATTTAGAGTTATTCACATTTGATTTTAAAACATGAAATACTCTTTTAACTAGCTTTTTTTTTTTTGATCACATGGTTTTATTCAGGCTCTGGAAACAATCATGCATCTCCAAAACAAATTAATTTAGAGCTTGGTCCATGATGACAACTATGAGAGCTGGTTTATTTTTATGGACTGTTGCTAAAGCACTTGTGGACTAAAAATAACTTCTGTTGAACAATGATACTGTACTGTCAAAATCTCTAACAAACAAATACTTTACATAGATCATCCAAATGAGGAGAGTGAAAATGAATGGTTATTTTTGAGACATAATAAGTAAGGACCTAGTACAGTTAAGATTCAGAAATAAGATTCCAAATGTAAATAAGATTCAGCAAGAGATGCTTAGACACTGACCAGGGATGGGGAGGCATAAATTTTCCAATGACCTTTGTTTCTAATGATACACAGCATGTATGTAAAGTTCCCCAGCATAGTTTTGTAGATTGGCTGTGGAAGGCTTTTTGTCTTTTGTAGTAATCTATGTGAGAGACTGTGTAGCTTTGATGGACTCTGCCTCTCTTTTAATTTGAGGACTTTTCTGAATAAGTTCATTTCGCTTCTCTGTTCTTCTGAAGCCCAGTGTCTGTGTGCAAAGCGTGGCTGTCCTCAGAACATCAAACACGACTGTACAGTGATTGCTATTGAATGGCCTATGCCTGCAACTTAAATTAGCTCCTACTTGTGATTTACCACTACTGAAATAAACCCTCCAAGCTTTGCTTCAGCAAGGCCAATCTGGCATCTGTTTAAGCTTTCCATAAACAACTTCTCTAGAACAACCTCATTTTGCAATTGCACCAAGTCACATGCGAGCACCTGAAATCCTGTGACTTAGCCGTACTACATCTTTCTCATTCATTTTAATTGTTGTGGATTTGAGTTTTCCTCTTTTGATCTGAAGACTAATATTGCAGCCTAATAGTATATCTTTATCCCTTTATCTGTATTCACTTAGTCAGTCTCAAGTCTTCTTCATTCAGGGCTTCCAGATTTCTAGATGTTACAGAACTTTTCAGATATACCACCACTCTACAGGGTTTCCACTCCCTGGGGAATTTTAGCAGCATATTTAGCCACAGTATCTCTGTCTTTTCATTCCACAATGTATGGGAACTGTTGAGTCATGGCCTGAACCACTGATTGAGCACCTGGGGAAAGGACCCGGTCAGCCCTGGGAGCACAGGTGAAGGCAATTCAGCTGTGTGACCAGAAGGGGTGGAGCCTGGCTGTGCACCTCTCTTAGACCTCACTGAAGGGCTGACCTCCACTGGGGAAGGATCTCTGGTTGGAGATCCTTCCTTGGTGAAGCTTTCCCCTGTGAACCTAGAATTTTCTGAATCAGGTGAGTAACCTTCTTCCCTTCCTTTATAGCACCTTCCTATTGTGCTGGTCCTTCCATTATCACACCTCTGTTGTAATGCCTTTCCCATCATTTTGATCTGTCCAATCGCTACACACAATATTTCTCTAATTTTTCAAGATCCCTTCTTGTTGCAGAGAAAAATCCTGGTGTGGTTTGTCTTGTTTCTTGTTTTAATGAAACATGCTGTACTGATTTAAAGGCATAAATATTTACATTTGACATCTTTACTTAGCACTGTGTTGGTTTCACTTTGTGTTCCTATCTACTCCCACAGGGATAACTTGTATCCCATTCTTTAATGAGAACAGAGATATCTGTTGTACATATCTTCAAAAAGCACCCCAGCTCAAGTTTCTGTATTTCTCAGCTCCTAAGGGATTTTTTTTCCTAGACTCCATTTCGCAAAATAATCTTTTCCCTGCAGAAGGCAACAGTTCTAATTTCACTTTTGGAGATGGAACCCAAGGTGTGTGTGTGCGTGTGACACTCCACCTTCCCCACAAGAACCCACAGTGACCTACTAAACTTCAATCTGCTTTTCATACGTACTGAAGCCCTGAAATTTTCTTTGTCCAAACTGGACCTTCAGACTGGAAAAAGTATTCCTGAGAAAACTACTGGACTTAAACCTTATAATTGAAAACTCACGGGATCAAAAACAAACGTGTAAAGCTCAAGTTCCAGTTGATTGCTGTTTCCACAAATAAAATTGAAGAGCTTTTTGAATTCATGACAGGTATAAATTCCAAAACTACTGGGGACATTCAGGCTCTGTCAGACAGAACACTACTGATCCTTCAGAGTAAAATATGAAAAGAGGGGGGCGACAAAGTAAAAATCTGTTTGTCAGAATAGAATGCTGCATAACCTGTAGAAGCTAGTTTAATTTAAGAGCTATACAAATTAACATAGCCTCCTTGCCAGTAAATTCCAAACAGAGCTAGTTTGTGAAATTTCTCAGAGGATCTCCTTACTGATGAGGAGCAGGAACAAAACAGATTTGACTGCAAAGTGATGGCTATCATCTCCAGCACACGCATAACTCCACAAGAGAGCCCAGTTCTGCTTCCCTGTTCCTATAAATGAAGAATCCCTCAGGCATTCCTTCCTCCTGCCTGCAGAGGCAATAAGCATTCAGCACAGTGCTCTGCTGTCCTAAGTTTACGCTTTACAGCCAGCAGGAGACACTCAGAGTGCATAACCCTCCAACTGCACCAACATGTAACTACGCCACTTACAAGTCACGTACCAAAACGGTGACTGTGTTCAATTAAGAGAGGAAAAAAAGTTTGTACAACTGTGCTCTTCCTCTCATATACATATCTATATCTACTGGTGGGAGTAGACTTGCCTATTATCATTAACTTTTTTTTTTAAATGAATGTTTGTTGTTTCAGCACAGTGTGATCTGAATTGCATCCATAAAGCACAGATGGGAGAAAAGATAGCCCATACCTTTCAATGCCATTCACTTGAACAGAACCATCGTGCTTCACTCATGCAAACAACAGTCCTCTCAGCAAATTGAAACCCACACTCAAGACTGCAGAAAGGGTGAGCAAGCCATGTGAAGACCATACTGTATGCTTAATTATCTATAAGCAAGGTAAGCTTTTTCCCATTATTTCTAACTGCCCTAATAAGGAAATGGCATAGAGAAGAGTTACGTACATTCTATGACAATAAGACCACTGAAAATACAAACATATTTTATATACTATTTCAAATTCGTCAACCATAAGAGCAAAATAATTAAGAATTATATTTATTGAATATTTGCAAGTGTATTAGTTGCTCAAATGACTTTGAAAAGTACACAGCTTTTTAAACACATCTTTACCAACACAGAAAAATGGGCTCTACACAATGTGCATCATAACAGATTCTGCAGAGCACATGGATTTGCTGAAATCCAGATAGGTCAATTTTTCAACTCTTCCTAATCACATTACCAGCTGCACATACCACTTGTAGGCATTTCACAGCTTTTGGTCCAGAAAAGCTTTTCTAACTATTATTTTTCTTCATTTTCAATTGAAAAGAGATAGAGTTCAAATTCTGTGTGCTAGCACATATTAGAAATGGAGGCAGATCTGCAGCTAAGGCTGCAACAAAACTGAAGGAATGAGAACTATTAATCAAAAGGTTAGGAAAAAAAGATCATGATTTTTAAGTTACTATTATATGGCATGCTTTTTATCAATAGTTTGAGATAATAGACAGATCTGCACTCAGAACAAAGCTCTGTAACATGTGTTGAACATCACCTGCTGGCACTGTTAAAAAAAGCATCCATGAGATAGGCAAGATATTTGGAAAGAACACTCTGTGCCTTGCAGTCATTAGTTCCAAGCAGAAAGCACCATAGTAGGAAATTCAGAAACACAAGCAAACCCTTGAATATATTTTACCTCCATAAAAAGCTCCATTCTTTCAAATTAATTGGCTTTACAGAATTAAAGTGGTTATAAACCCCACGTGGAAGACCATTTTTATTATGAGATCTTAAGAGTAAGAAATTATTCTGGCAGCAGCAGTGAAGATAAAGGGCATAGGCAAGTCTTGGAAAAACTGTCTCAGCTAAAACTCTCCAGTACTTCCTATTGTAACACTATTTCTTCAGTTCTTACAACTCTACCAAGCTACAGCTGTTCACATGGAAATTTTCCACAATGGACTTTTGCCACTTATGAGAGATATTTTTCTAGCCCCTTCTGACAAAGAAGCAGGGTTAAAACCACACTGCTCTTTACAGATAACGAATCCTGCTGACCTTTCCACTAACTCTTCAGAGTTAATGGGCCACCACATACAACTTTTTGCCAACCCTGGGAAAATCTTCCTGAACTTGGCCAAGTGTAACTGTTAGCACATACTGCTAATTTACGTATGCAGCAGATTTAGATTTTAGCAACTCACTGATCACCCTATCCAAACACTCCACAGGAGACAGGGAAGCCACACGTGGTAAGCACAAATGACTAGAAGCAGACAAAGTGAAAGATGGAAACAGGCATCAACACGACAGCAGAGCTGATATATGCTGTGTGAGTACAGAAACTGTAGAGAGTACTAAAGAAAGAAGGTTGGCTAGTAAGGTGAAGATGTGGAAAAAGCAACAGCAGGAGTCTCATCTAGGAGAAAATGCAGCGGGCAAGAAGCCAGGTCCACACATTCCCTTCAAGAACTAGAACAAAAATCAAAATTGCTATCTAGTAGACAAATGGTGACACGTACAATCTGCAGAACTGCAAGTAATATATGCTATTTCCCTGTGGACCCCAGAGAAGATAACTACATACTGCTCTGCTAAAATCAAACTTCTAATTCAAATTACAGAGATCTGTTGGATTGGAAATTATCCATCCTGATAAAGAACAGCATCTGTTTTCTTTCTAACTTACTTAAAAACAAAACAAAGAATTTACAAGCAATAAAACAAAATTCAAGAAAATCAACAACTGCAAAAACTGAAAGTCTATGTAATTTTAATTGGGCTTTTCTGTGTCTATGTTTTATGAAAGAATTTGTGAAGACACAATCAAATAGAGTAACATACATGACATTCTTGTTTGCTTTTTTTTCTAGCAAGCAATGCTCTGAAAGCTAGTAAGAGTTGCATAGAAAAAGGAAATGCTGTCTGCAGAACATCAGCTGCAGAATTTAGAAGTTCTGCAATGAAGGAAGCAGCCAGTTGAAGGTAAGAAAGGACAGCCCTACGGATGATGCAATTAAGTGCTGCATTTAAGAACTGACTGTATCCCTGCTACTGACGCAGTCCACTGGGAATGCCAGAAAATCTGTGCAACTGTCCTGAGACCACAGGACATTATCAATCTGTGGAGTATTCTGCAAATGAACTAGGGCTGTGTTTGGAATATGAAGGACTATTAAAGATGGTAATGCAAGAAAATCAATTGACTAGGTTAATGTTTCCAAATGAGTACCAAGAAGTGTGGTTACATTTGTCTTCTTCCTATGGCTCAGTTCAACCAAGTAGAAAATGTCCCTCTCATCTTAGGCTATTTTGAAAATAAATTAAATTGTGTAGTGGAAATGCTTAGTCATGGCCTGAACCAGATACTGAGCTCCTGGTGGGAGGGCAAGGCCAGCCCAGGGGAGCTCAGGTGCATGTAATACATCTGAGTAACAGGAAGGGGTGGAACCAGGATCTACCCCTTCCCAGACCTCATTTAAGGATCGTCAGTGAAGGCAAGGGTATCTTGCTAGAAATCCCTGCCTACCTGAGGCCTTCCAAAGGTAAGCAGGTTCTTTCCTTTGTTTCTGTATCTACAGCTGTTGCATTTGGGCATATCCTCACCTGCTGCAGCCCAGGACTTTGCTAATATGCTGTCATTGCTATGCTTTGCATTGTGTTACAGCATTACAAATTGTCAAGAACAAAATGGAAAAATGATAGTTTGAAAGTAACTGTCCTTGTAATAATATGAACCCTAGAATATCTTGATACAGCTCGTGACTATACTCTTAGCATCTCTGCCTATACCTATATAATTCCAGAAACTGACAGTAAATTAGGGACTGATGGGGCAACACCAAAAACTAGTAGTTTACATTACATAAGTATCTCTCTTGTATCTTTCCAAAGACTTTTACCCCTTAAAGTTGCATCCTGACTTAAGTGCAACTCATAGCCTTCCTGTGGCTCTTTCTCACGTCTCTAATTACTTCTGTCAGAGATAAGGCACCCTCCATCCCATTCAAAGAAGTCAGTAGCATTTAGGAGACAAAATCACATGGGACTGATACTTCATTAGACTTTACCTCATTTTGTGGAACAATAGCAAAAGGCTGGATGACAGCTGCCAGTGGAATGCGAGCCTGTTTGGCCATATCTGAAGATGACGGGAAGCAGTAGGTAGTACATCGGATATAACGAGGGCTGGCATGACCTAGAACACCCAACAAAGCAGGCACAATGAGAGAGAAAAGGAGTCTGTCTGTTCCAAAAACATACCAAGATTAAAAACAAAGCAACAAGTGCAGATTCCTAAATTAAATGTATGCTTTCCTTCCTTCTGTGCAAGCTTCTGCCCTTATCATCTCTTTATGTCAGCCTATTGCCTCCTCCTGTAGGCAAATTTTTTCTGGCTGAGATATAGATGCTGGTCTAAATTATACCATCAGTTTAGTTTGTATTAAAGTATCAAGTCTGCTGCCAGGAGCAACACGTGCAATATGGTATTTACAGGCTCTAGGCAGAAGCAAACTAGATACACTAACCAAATGAAAACATTAAGCCAACTAGGCAGCTCATGCTCTGTCCCTATAACCTCAACAAAAGATTCCAAAATTTATATCTTAATGTACAACAGTGCCAGGTTCATTGCTTCTTGTTAATATCTATCTCTTAAAGTTTCAGAATAATTTGACGATGCTTTTCAACTTGAAAACCTTGAAAATGTTCAAACTGAAAAGAAATGTGGTGTCAATTATTCTTATTATTTTAAATATCAGCAAGCACAGAGATGGGGGTAAAGCAATCTCAGGGATTTCACTAGAGTTAACTGTTGTCAGCAACTGGTGGCAATGCAACAGTTAACCAAAGGTGTGAGAATTCAATTCCCATTTGTCCCACTTCTCCTTTTTTCCACCCCTCCAAAGGGAATGATCTTCCCATTCCATGTTCAATTCAAGACTAAGGAGCACCATTTCTAGATCACGTGAGAATTTACTCATATATATACATATATTCATTTGCTTTTACCTAAGAAGATTCCCAAAGCAGTAACAAAGACAGTTACCTTGATCCTGGATTAAGCAGTCAGTGGTGACAAGAGGAGGAATCTGTCCTCTTGTGTTTGTAGCATACATCTGCCCTCCCCTAGAAGCTTTATCACTTTCAATTACTTGAATCTGATGAATAAGAAGCGAGAACAGTATGAGAAAGGTTAGCCACGCATTCAGGTACATTCATAAACCATTAACATCTACGCCAAGTAAATCTATTGACATTTTCTTATACAGGTGTCCCATTAACTTCCCACATACAAACTCCTAGTGCAGTCAAGAACTAGACAGTATAACTCAAAGAGAAAGTTGCCTGTTGGAACTCTGCAGAGGAAATGTTACACATAGGGGTTGACCAGACCACTGTGTAGTGAGCAAGTGAATTGTTCAGAGTATGTTGACTGCAAGGAGGACAGACATTTTCAAGAAAGTCTAGCCAGCAAATCAAGAAAAGTGATTACGTAAAAATACATCCTTGCTACTGCATCAGGTCTTCCATACTCTGAAATCAAACTAAAGTGCCAACAGGTTGCATCACCTGACTCATATGCCACATATTCCAGGTTGTATTTTCTATTACCACAACTGTGCCAGCAGCTGCTCTTGATAAATCAGCATGCAGGTGATTTATTAGACTGCAACAGTGAGAAGAGTTGGCCCTTAGCTCCTCTGCTAGACTCCATCCACAGGATAGTTAAGACTTGAATGATAACCTATGTAGTACATCACCTTCCTTGCTGAGCTATTTTCAGCACTGTCATTTAGAAAGCAGTAATTTCAATCCCCAAGAAATTCTTGCTGGCCACTAAGTAATATTTCAGCACTGGAGCTCAGTGTTCTCAATCCCTGAGCCAGCCCCATGTTGTGAGCTTCCTCCCAGGATAAAATAAACAAGAGCAATCATAGAAAACTTCTTGAGAGGCAGCTCTGATCATGTACAGATTTATTCTGGTTGATGCCTAGTTTACAGCAAGCTTTGGTGTATTTTCATTACGTACTCATGAAGCTGGCTTTAGTACTGAACAAATTTCCTTTATATATACTTTCTAATACTATCACTTCTGCACAGTCCTCAATACTGTTTAATACTTATCAGAATAAAATAGATAAAGCTGTACACTGGTCCACACCATAAACTGGATCACTGAGATACCATTATTACTCTTTTTGCTCAAAGGAGATCTCTGTTCAGCAACACATTTTAGAGTGTAGCCTAACAGCTATGAGAAAAAAAATAAAGAAAAAAAAATAGGAAACTGGGAATTTCTGAAACTGCCTTTGCCACTGCTGCCAGTATCCCATGCAATTGTATCTTTACACTGCACATCATTTTCTAATAATAGCTGGGATATTTCAGAAGCCTCATTTGGAAAGCAAACAGAGAAGAAAAACAAAACTGGTCAGTGCAGAGTCTATTGATCATTGTTTAAGAGGTATTTCCTAACACACTGGAAATAATCTGGGGCCTGTAAAATTTTCTCTCTATTAAGTTTTTGTATAGCTATTTAAACATACAATACATTCCTCAGAGCTTGTTCTATCTTCTGCTTGATTACTTTTCCCTGCCTGCTTGGCTGGTCTACTTTTGCTAACTCTTGCATGAATAGGGAAAGAGGCTTTGTTCAAACACCCATTGGCTGAAGGAAGCAAACTATTTTCAAGACTCAGCTCTGCAAAGGATCATAGCACCGTGTTATTCTGCAGTTAACTGACCTAAACATATCATCATTCTTGGAAATAACACCATGTTCTTGGAAACCACATGCTGATTTTCACAGATGCTGTCAGAGCACATATCAGCCTCCAACATACATAAAACAACATACATCAACAATTGGTTACAGATAAGAAGTAAATTTATCTGACAACACTATTGTAATTGTATAATGTAAATATAACAAGAGAATTACACTCAGTCATACTTAATCAGCTTTTTTCCCCTCTTCAGACATTGACCCAGATGGTGTTGCTTTTAAACATATCATTTTGATCCTCTCTGTGCTGCTAAAACAAACCTTTTAACCTATTTTAGCATGACTGTCATAGTAAAGTTTATTCTATGTGCATAACTGAAAAAAGACATCAGTCCATGCTCACATGCCAGACCTCCCTCTCTTCAAACCGCTTTTTTTTTTTTTTAATATATTAGACATGATGATTTTATCCTTCTTATGTAAAATTACCATACTGAAACACCATACAGAAACACCATTAAGGCCACTGCCTACATTTGCTAATTATGACAGTTTGGTTTTTTTGGTGTGCGCATGTGTTGTTTTTCTGTCTGTCTGTATTAAAACACACAGTGATCTTCAATTGCATCTAACTTGAAAATTGCATTTAATGGAGGCAATGCAGTTGTTAACGTTACTCTTAGGATATTTTCAGTTTTCCAGTAAAAACATCATCGGATAAAACAAAGGAATATCCCAATAGAAGGAAGCATGGCTGCACGCTGCTAGACAGGGCTTCCCCTCATCACAGTAAAATACAAATCCTTTCCTGTACAGCTGTACTGCTTCAGCAAAGGAGTGGAAGATTCCTTCACTCAGAAGAGCTTAGTAGAAGGTTCTGCCCTGTAGCTGCAAGACAGTCTGCTTCAAGAGCCCTAACTCTCCAAAGACCTTTCAAAGTGTCCAAGTGATCACCAGAACCTGTAGAACTGTGTGCATCAGTGTGTGCTCTCCCCAGGAGTTCAGTACACTTCCTCCTCCCCTCCCCCCAACTCTGATCAACTGTTACCAATAAAAAACAATTTAATTACATCCTGAATCTAACAAGATACTCCTTTGGGTAATACTTAGACTACTTTCTTAGCAGTAGATGGACAAACTATACCTTGTTTTATTTTTCCTCTATCATTACTCTAAAAAGAAGAGGCAAAGTCCCATCAGAGCATATTCAGGCATGTTTCAACAACTGAGCCTTTTTGAATTGCGTGAAGCTGAAGCATTAATTATATTCTAAGCTACTGAAATCCTTACAAGGCTGTAACAACTAGAAGGACATTTAGGCAAGCTGTTCTAGTTAGAATATCAGCACTGACTTTACTTTGTCTTCAATGCAGAAGAAGTTCATAAAAAATTAGTGGCCTGTTACTCACTGGGCTTGGAATCGAGTCAGGATCAAGCTTCTTCTGTGGTGGACCAGAGAGCTGTGCTGGACCTCCAGGAAAAGCACCGGGATAAGACAGTTGAGATCCTGCCATCTGAGGGCCATAGTTTGCTGCAGAGTTACAAATGACCATTGATTTCAAGTATTTAATTTCTGTTATCCATCTTTAACATCAACTTTTGTCATACAAATCATTTTTATTTCAGCTAAATGCAGCTCCTCTTTACTTTCTGTTTTCAGCAAGTATCAGAATAGGTTCTGGCTCACAGCATCTGTTTTGAAAGTAAGCATAAAACTAGCTTAGATTGACAACTCTAGCTTCAGACATTTTCTAGTACATATCACACAGGACTAGCTAGAACGGGTTATTACAGCTACTACACCTAGAGAGCAGGCTATTGCATTAGTGAGAATTTCTCTGTTACTGTCAGTCAAAGAAAACTAGTCTAGGAAGTTTTACGATTAAAAAAAACAGCTGTTTTACTCACAGGTGTCAGGTAAAATAAAGCATGCTCTTTTACAAATTCAGCATATTCAATTTGAACTCTTTACCCCTATAGTAAAGAGGAGTATATAAAAAGGAGTATTATGACTCCTTCCTGCTGTACATTGTGCCTTTACCCACTAAATCATTTTGCTCCTTTTTCTTGTTCTTAACAGTGTTGAATTGTTGAGCAAAAGTACAGCCTGCCTTGAATGCTCCAATCACTGAATCACAGAACGGTATGGGTTGGAAGGGACCTCAAAGATCAAGAATCTCCAACCCCCCTGCCACAGGCAGGGCCACCAACCTCCACATTTATTACTAGATCGGGTTGCCCAGGGCCCCATCCAATCTGACCTTGAACAGCAGGGACGGGGCATCCACAACCTCTCTGGGCAGCCTGTTCCAGCACCTCACCACTCTCTCTGTAAAGAACTTCCCCCTGACATCCAGCCAAAATCTCCCCTCCCTCAACTTAAAACCATTTCCCCTTGTCCTGCAGTTATCTACCCTTTCAAAGAGTTAACTCCCCTCCTGTTTGTAGGCTCCCTTTAGGTACTGAAAGGCTGCAATGAGGTCACCCTGCAGCCTTCTTTTTTCCAGGCTGGATAAGCCCAGCTCCCTCAGCCTGTCTTTGTAGGAAAGGTGCTCCAGCCCTCTAGTCATCTTTGTGGCTCTTCTCTGGACCCTCTCCAACAGCTCTCTGTCTTTCTTGTACTGGGGGGCCAAACCTGGACACAATAATTCTTCAGATGGGTCCTCACAAGAGCAGAGTAGAGAGGGGCAATCACCTCCCTGTCCCTGCTGGCCACCCCTCTTCTGATGGAACTGGTGAAATTTTGATGGAATGGATTCCATTCTGATGGAATGGACTGATCTGTTTGTCAGTAACAACCTTTTATTCTACAAAACAGAGATTAAATTTTCATTTCTTTAAGCCAGCAGAACATCAAACTTGAGAGGTCAACAGTGATTCTCAGTGCATTTTTTGTTTTCAATTAGATACCTAACATCCTTCTTTACCTTGCTGAGGATGATATCCAGGCCCTGGAGTCTGTCCTGGAAGTTGCTGCAAGTTAGGATTTGGAAGTCCAGATCCAGGGACCCCATCCTGTCTGGCCATACTAGGCAACGATGACTGAGCACAAAGGCCACTGAAATTATTTGCTGGTGGAGGAATCTGTGGTCCAGGTTGTAAAGTCATTTGGTGCTGCGTCAGTGGCAGTTGCTGTGGACCCTGAAAAGATGCTGGATGTCCGGAAGATGTGTGAGAGCTTTGGATAGCACCAGGACCTGAGCAAGAAATTATATATATGTGTCAAATGAGTTCAAAAATTATAGGCTACTAGCTTGGTGTGGAAGATGTACTGAGTAAAAAACACATCTGCAACATATACACATAGCAAATACTGTCTCTCATACTGATAGTGCTTTATCAGGTAGATTCTGAATGCCTGTTTACAAAACAAATCAGATTTCACAGCTTAAGTCTGAACTCATTCAGATGTTCAACTTCATTTCCTTTGACTCTATTATCAATAAAACCCTGCAGCTCGGGTGGATGGGGAAAAGGATAGGGAGGCCAATTCAACAATTCTTGATTAGAATACATGTAAATTGCTATTTGCTTCTGATATTATAATTAATATGAAACATTCCTTTTTTGCTTAATAATCAATTCTTCTTATATTACTTTTTTTGTTAGTACGTTGCTCCCACTTCACCACAACAAACTCAGTGGAAGTTCAACCGACAAATTTAATCTGGTTTACAACCATTCTCTAGAATTGATGCTAAAAAATGAAACGTGGAAATTACTTAGCACACACTGGTGAGGAATGCTGTTAATAAGATCCAGATTGCAATTAAAATTAAGAGATCCTGCAAGTGGTTTCTTTCTAAGACTTAAAATCTGTAGATGTTATTTTATGAAGCCTACATTTTCAGTCAAACATCTCCTGAAGAACAACAGCAAAACAGCAAAATGACTAACGTTAATAAACAAATACTGAAATGCACCTTAGAATCATAAAATTGTTTGCGTTGGAAGGGACCATTAAGAGCTAGTTCCAACCCTCCTGCTACAGGCTGGGACATCTCTAGACCGGGTTGCTCAAAGCCCCATCCAGCGTGGCCTTGAGTGCTTCTGAGGAGGGGGAAACTCCAGTCTCACTGGGCAACCTGTTCCAGTGTCTCACTTCCCTCACAGTAAATAATTTCTTCCTGATATCTAGTCTAAATCTACCCTATTCCAGTTTGAAATCATTCCCCCCTGTTCTGTTGCTACACGACCTTATAAAAAGTTCCTCTCTAACTGTCCTGTAGGCCCCCTTCATGGACTGGAATCTTCTACCAGACTTGTTTACTGAAAACAGATTTCACAGAAAACAAGTTCTGATTCTCAGCTGATAGAAATAAACATTGCACCACAAGTCTTAACAGCTATCCACTTCAGTGCTCTTCCAAGTTACAGAACTTAGGCTTTAGCTAAGCAAAAACCATAACAATAAAACCTAACATGGGGGCATAGTTGGAAAGAAGCAATGCCTTCAGTGGTCTGAAGGGTATCTCAACCCTCCTCCATCTAAGATAAGCAAGAACATTACATTTTATATAATCATTGCTGGAGGCAATGTACTGAAGGCAGGAAAGAAAAGCAATTCTTTCTTCTCTAAATAATTTCAGTTGCTGTATATGAAGTGCTGCTGTAGAGTGCTGGGTCAAACTCCATCCTGCATAGAACAGTCTGACTTAGTTGTGAACTTGCAGTTCAGTACAGAAAGGCTGAAGTCTAAATTATTTTTATTACAGCAAAGAAGGAAGTTTTCACATGTAATTGTACAATAGAGGTCAGATCCTTGGCAATTACACAAGTTTTTATTTAACTCAAATCAGTACCTTGTAAAGTCAGAGAAGGAACACCCACACAGTCTAAACTGGAAAGTTCATTTTTACTCATATCTCAATGAGATACTGATGAACAAAGTTATCTCAGTTTAACAGTCTCATCCTCACAACCATACCAGCCACAGCAAAACATGATGCTGGCTACATTCCCACTGCTTTTCAATCCCATAGTAAAATTGGCCAGGAAATATTCAGAAAAAGCGGGTCTAGACAGACAGAAAATTACAAATGGAAGTGATTTACATGGAAGAATCACATCTTACCTCAGTTTACTTCTAACCCTGGATTAAATACAAACGAGTTTAGATGGAAAATTTACAAGCTTTGGACCAAAAAAAAAAAAAGAATTAGATTGTTTTGAAATCGAAACTATAAAAAGATCAGAAAAATGAAACTGTATATTTTTAGTCATGTCTTGGCTGTTATTGACAGCATAAACAAATAATGAGAAATGACTGATAAGGTAGCCAATATGTATGGAAGGCTTAACATGCTCTAATTCAGAACTAACCCAACAACACTGATGTAAGAAATAGGATAAGATTAAAAACAACTACTTGAGTAAATGAAAGAGGGAAAGATTTTATTATCTGCTTATACAGAAGTTCAGTAGATATTTCTAATTATCACAGTCTTACAAGCTTTAAATGAGAAAAGAGTCAAACAGATAAAATTGATTACCATAGCTATTTATCTGCATGCTGTTCAGCTGGTTGGCAAGTTGTGTACATGAAGTGGATACAGCATTTGGGGAGGCTGGCTGGGACTGATGACTGCCAGGAGGACAGGAAGGTCCTGTATTGTTCGGAGGTAGAGGGCTTGGAAACCTATATGGAAAAATGAGTGCAGTTATGCAAGAAATTACACCAACCAATCATAATTCCAGAAAGTCTGATACCTTCTCAAGTGTCATGCTGAAACAGTTAATTGGGATGATCAAACTCGCCAGAGTTTTCTCATCTTCTGCTCAGAAAAAGTATATTGTTAAAAGCACAAAGAGAGAATGCCCCCTCACACACAATAAAAAAGAATATGTGTGTTTGTTTAGTTACTAGAAGCAAATAAGAATGTATTCCATGGAGGAGAGAATAACTGTATGAAAACTTGAAAAGTAAGGAACTTAAGTTTCTGAACACTCTCTCTTCACCCCTTCATAGAAAGGAAACTTCCTTCCTGGGGATGAATGAAGTCTACTCAGAAAACACATATTCAGTATCTCTGCAAAGAGAGAGCAATTAACAGAGAAACTGCTAAGGAGTTCCCTGCTGTAGAGAGAAAAGGAAGGTGCAGGTGGGAAAACCTGCTGCACGGTTATCGGACATGGGAAAAAAGGAGGTACTGAAGAAAAGGAGGAGGCAATACATGTGATGCTGCTTTATTCTGGACAAATGAGATTTCAGGCTCTCTCTCAAGGATCTACACTGTTTTACCTACAACCATTTCTAAAACTGAGGTGTGTCCTAGGTATATCAAAAGAAAACTTCGATGTGGATATTCCCTTTGCCAGAAGAACACCACTCAGCAATCTGTGAATTAAACAAGATCTGGATAAAAGAAGAAAAATTAAAAGCTTCAGGACAATGACTGGAAGGAAAATAGGAAAGAATCAGCATTTTTCTGGGCTGGTCGTGTCAACTTGATTCTCTCTTCCTTGTTTTCAGGTCTTCAGAACAACAGACACTTCTCCCTGTTCATTAGTACATTGTCTTTTACAATGGATCACCAGTCTCTGCAGGTCCTTTTCACACAGTGATAATGCACAAACAAGCTTTCACATTTATACGCCTCATGAAACACACGTGCCTTTACTTAAACACAAGTAACTATGTCACAGCTAAAAAAATACAGAAGTAGAGCAGGAGTTCAAACAATTAGCTCACCCACTTAGAACCCTCTGAAAGATATACATTTTGTAATCAAGCTTATCCACCCAATCTCTTCAACTCCTCATACTACAATTTTTCCAAGATTTTTATAGCCCCCACTGTCCCTAGCATTCTCCCTTTATCCACTCCTGTCTTCTACATTTCTTTCTGTAAGCTCTGGAGATAGGAAAACAACACTTAAAGCATTGTCATTGTTAATCTCAGGCCTGAGCAAAAAAGCAACAGTCATTAACTTGAAAGGCAAACCTGTATTATAAAATGTCTTTAAAGTAACCTGCAGAACTTCAGCGGAGCTCCCACAACAATGAAGCAAAGATACCCTAAAAAGGGGGGAAAAACCTACAGCTATACAGACATGATTACAGCGAGAGCGTGGTTGGTCTCTTCTCACTGGTGACAGGTGACAGGACGAGGGGAAATGGTCTCAAGTTGCACCACGGTAAGGTGAGGTTGGATATCAGGAAAATCTTTACAGAAAGGGTTGTTAAGCACTGAAATAGGCTCTCAGGGAGGTGGTTGAGGCACCATCCCTGGATGTGTTTAAAATCGTTTGGATGTGGTGCTCAGGGACATGATGAAGTGGAGGGTTGTTAGAGTTAGGTAGTATGGTCAGGTTGCAGTTGGACTTGATGATTTTGAGGGGCTTTTCCAATCTGAGCAATTCTATGATCCTATGTACCAGACTCTGGTCCAAACTCACTGACAACTATTAATTTTTTACAAACTTTCTGGTGCCTCACAACAAAGGAGAATTAAGACACCAAAAAATGACCAAAAAAGCAGCTTCTACATATTAAAAAAAATAATAATAATCATAACATCTTACTGCTGCTTATGGACAATAAATCGAAAGTTGAAGGAGGAAAAATAATTGAAAATAAAAAGCAACTCATGATAAAGACATGACTTGCTCTAAAAACTGAATTAATGGAATTATGGGTTATAATCTATGATCAGGCATCTTAACATCACAGGAACTAAACTACGAGATCCAGTTCAGAAGCAGAATGAGTAAGAACTGCCAAATATAAAAGAGGTGCCATACCTAAATGGCAGTGAAGCAGCCAAAGAGAGGAAACAGAGGTCAAACAAATCTCATGTACTAATTCTTGAAAGTCACCTATGTGGCTGTTGTCCTGCTGCACTTTGGAAGTTGTTCTGGCTGACTTGATGTGTACCAGGTGGTAGAGGCCCAAGAGGAGTCGAAGATCCAAGAGGCACAGTTGATTTCGACATACCTGCCAAACAAGAAGTACTTTTATGGAAGAATCCTGTAAAAAATGCACAAGATCATCAAGAAATACAAGTGTACAGCCCTGATCTGGCAATGAGAATATCAGCTATAGGTGGCCCTGCATGTGCAAGTGTGATCAGACAAGATAACCTCAAGAGGCTCTTTCCAAACTCAGCCATCTTCTAATTCTGTAAGAATAGGCAGATTTTTTATCAGCTACAGAAGCAGACATGAAAAGGGACAGTAAAAAGCAACTATACAGCAGTTGCTAACTTTTCAAAAAAAGAACACAAGGGGGACAGTAAGAAGGAAGTAAAGATGGAGGAACAGACCCTTTGATTCACTTTGGGTTACTGGAAATTCCCTATTACCCTGTTACCTTTGCAGAGAAAGCAAGAGGCCCCTTTGCTTTAAGAGACTTTTGCCAATAAGACTGCTTGGAACAGCCTTTAAAAAATGCCTCCATATGCAGATCCAGTAAAACTATGCTAAAAAGGTGCTATAACCCTCTTTCATAATTCAGAACTCGAACATCAACTTATTATAATTTATGTTATCGTCAGAAGTAATTCTGACTGTATGCAGCATTGGGCTAGAGTCACAACTCCTGCTGGTTTTAATAAGAATTTTTAGAGAAACCGGACAAAGCTTTTTCTGTAATTTAATGATACCACAAAAATCAAGCAGACCACACTATTTAATATAGTGGATCTTTAGTTCTGTTATTACTGTATTCAAACAGTACCCAACTTACATTGAGTTTAATGTAAGTATCACCATATGTCTGGTATTAAAAAATTATTCAGTCTTTTTTATTGTTTTCGATATGGTATCGCAAAGAAAATTACAATTAAAACAAGAGAAAATTAATGCTGCGTGAAGGACAGATGATAATAGGTTTACCTTCTGGCCATCAACTACATCATCTGCAGCACAATTACATCGGTAGAGATAAAAAGAACCCATTTACTTGTAAAAGCTACCCAATTCCCCTCCCAGTAGAAAGTAATTGTCCCCTAAGTGGTTAGAAAGCAGATGGGCTCCACTTACCATACATTATCCAAGCACATCACCAAGCATGCAAGACTAAGTAGGAAAATATCAACTTGTATTCATAGGCAAGTTTGTGCTCAAGAACTTGGTTGGGCACAGGTCCTACTGCGAAAAATACAACATATTTCTGAGAGCCTGCTTGCCATTAACATGTATCAGTTCAGAACTGCTGCTCTATTCCCAGAAATCACTTCTTTCTACTTTTCTGTACTAGGAGTTAATCACAGCACTGCTACATACTGCTTCTTGGACAAGAGATCACACACAAGGGTCAGAGTTCCACTACCAGGCACCTTATATTAGCATCTGAACAACAACAATGCAGGCAAATGTAGCACAAGAGCCTGTTACACTAGCAGTGTAAAACTGAGCAGTGTGCTGACTTAAGTAAAATGAAGAGACACAAAACACCACAGAAACGTACAGTCTGAAGAGACATTCTAAGACAGTTATGTACCTGGTTGAGGTGCTGCTGCATGTGAGGAGTTCGGGTCTCCATAATGCCCATAATGAAGTGAAGAATTAGGTGGTCCAAAACCTGCAGAAAAGCCTCCCATTCTTGGCTGGGATTGGGAATATGGAGGAGCTGTAACATAACCCTGTTGACTCATGACGGCAATATTCTCATTCCAAGTTTGGAGTACTCTTCAGGAATCTGCAAAAAAGAAGGTGACACCTGCTATTACTCTTCATTCTTTGGAATATTTTAGAAGGCTGAGAATTACATTCCCAAAAAGACAGAAGACACATTAGAAGGTAAAAATTGACCTAGCAAGATAAACAATCCTCTCGTTTGTCAGGTTGCTTAGTTTCCTCAACAACGTGAATTTAAACAAATCACTGAAATTATCTGAACAAGATTAACCTCTCCCTGGCCCATAGAGAGAAAAACTCTAAGGACGTGTATGTGGAAGAAAAGTAAAAAGAAAAGTCTAAAACTGTTCCCTTTAACAGGAAAATCTAAACTTCTAATACAACCAAAAAAAAAAAAAAAAAAAAAAAAAAAAAAAAGACAGTCTAATACTCTAAATACTAATTATTCCAAAGAACAGATTGGAACATCAAAAAAAGCAGAGTAACTGGACTACCAAATTCCTCTAGTCAATCTGTCTCCTATCCTAGCAGACCTGTCTTAGATGACAAAGTATTCCACAGTGAAACTGTTATGGCCTCAACAGTATCATATGTTGTCCTTGCTGCTTCCATGCACCTTTTTCCTAAGCTTTCATATCTTGATTTTGTTGTTTTCAGAGAAAGGGAGAACAAACAATTGAATAACATATTTTCCCACCATGAGATTTGTTCTAAAAGATACTTTCAGAAAGCTTTCAAAAACAGGGAAAGCTGATGAATGCTAAATCAGACGATTCTATTTCACATGATCAGTTTTCAAATACAGAGCATTTTTCCATCAAAGGTTTTAAAAAATTACTAAGGTAATATACAATGAAGCCTTGACTGCTAACTTCCACTTTACCAGATAAAAAAATTTACTTTGATTTCATGTTGAATTAAAAAACAACAAAACAAACAAACAAACAAAAACCAACCAAACCACAAAAGCAACAGAATTCCACTGATTTTATTTATGCCCAATTTAAAACTGTTTTGACAAATGATTAGGATCTGACCCAGTGAAGTACTTCTGTAAAAACCCAAGTACACAGGAGAACTAGAGATCAATTAAATAAACTAGTATTTCAGATGTTAAACATTCTTTTCAAATAGCTTTCCCAACCATCTGTATTTCATGTTTTCTGAGTTGCAGAATGGGGTGGTCTCAGAGCACGCAAACACCTTAAGGAGTTGTGTTTCAGAAGCATGTATGAAGGCACTTCAGAATTAGATACGCCTCCAAGATCACAACATATTCAAGCTGTGCTACCACATGGCAGTAGACAGAAGTCATACTCATCAGAAAACCCATCTCTTGGAATCTCTGATTAACCACACTGGAGAAAAAAAAAAAAGTTCTACTAATCTTACCCATCAGACAAGAAATCAGTTTGAGCTGGGTACCCTCCTCACAACCTGGCCATAGTACTAAGTCTCACTTGTCAGCATGGCACTAAGTTGCTTTGGATGGGTAAGCCTGGGGGACTGCCTCCTATTTCTTAGTTAAGAAGGTAAAATAAGAATAGGAAGAAGAAAAAAAATGAATATGTTTATACAGAGAGGCTTCTTGCTGTCAGCCATACTTTTTTTCCTTTCCCCACCCCCATCTGAGAAGAAGTGTGTTTTAGTTACTCCGAAAGACAATAAATCAGTACTAAATTACCTACACAGTGGTATAAACATATACATATTTTAAACCTATAAAGAGATTTTCACACTGAGCAACAGCCAACACCTTCAGCTATGACAACATCCAGGGGAAACGACTTCCTCCACTGCTTACTCACACAAAATCTTGCCACGTCGAACTTCCCACAGACAGCATAAACACATGCAGGCTGTGCTGACGAGAGGCAGCAACCAAACATAAAAAAAGCTTATAGAGCACAGTTCCAGATTCTACTTACAAGCAAGCACATTGAATCGCTTCCAAAGATACGGACATAGAGAAACTCAAGATGTAACTAGCTTCAGCAACACCTATGATATCAATAGGAACTGACTGCTTAAGTTTTATCAAGTTCTAACAAGAGACATACAGATTCTGTCTGGAAATCAAACAAGAAAGATCAGAGAATCTGCTAAACTGAAAGCTCTCGCTGGGTTTATCCACTACAAGTATCAGTGCACAGGACAAAAGTTCTTGTCTCTCTTAGCCCCAGTTTAATTTGTTCCCCAAGGCCTATACACCACTAAAACAAACACTTCTCACAACAAACTGCTACTAGAAGACTGGTTGTCATCTTTTTATCCAGAGGGCTGCTCTATTTACGCAATGCTCTGCTGCACCAATACCACTATGAAGATGTAACACTACATTAAGTACACGTAGCATCATGATCTCAGCTACCTGCAGGGGAACTGTTAACTTTTTTTTTTTTTGCTTAGCAATGTAACATCTGGAAAGAGGCACTGCTCCTGCCCAGGGCACTCTACAACATCATTTTTGCAAATAACGTTTGGCACGCATACCTGTACACATACAGACATATAAAAGGAGGACAGCCACATGCATTACGCTTACCGTTTATAACATACATTCTGGAAAGAGAAAGCAGAAGGCATCACTGACCCCAGCTCCGTGCCCAAACGGCACTCGGTTAGCACCTGTCTCCCCATTACCTGAGGCCGCACGTCAGTCAGCGCTGTACCAGGTGCTGCTCCGAGCCCAGAGTGAGACACGCCCGCCCGCCGTGCCCCCACACACGGTCTGCCACCAGCTCCCCCGACCTCCCGCCCTCGGGCTAGCTCGCAGGGCGACCCCTAAGCACCCCGGCACCGCTACGAAGCATCCGCTGCTCCCCACACGGGGCGGCGCAGCCACGATCTTCCCTCCCACGCCCCCAGCAAAAAGCAACGGCCGCGAGCCGGGACAGCCGTTACCTGGGCGCGGTGTGCAGCCCTCACCCGATAGAGCGCGCGCCACCAGCTCACCAGAGTGCCACGTCTGAGCCCGCCGCGCGCCACCGCCACGCGGCCCCCCCCGCTCGAGAGCGCGCCCGGCAGCGCCTGCGCAGTGCCCGCAGCGACGCCGTGCCCTTAGCGGCTGGGAGGGAAACGCCGGGAAAGGGCGCCCGCCTCACGTTTCATGACTTTTTTTTTTGTCGCGTCTGCCGGCCTGAGGCGGGGCCTGGCCGCGAGCTGCCGGCTTTGAGGAACATCGGGAAGGACCCGATGTGAAGTCCCAGAAGTGTGATAGGGAGGTCGTTCCGAAAGTAATGCCTCCTGCTTATTTCCATTGAAACTACAGCAGACACAAAGACCTCAGTAACACTATTTGACAGAGCAAATTTTCAGCTACACTGCTTTTGTTGCCACTTCTGAGCTGAAACGCATCACCCAGCCCCACACCGGGCTCACATCCACTGTTTGGTCTCCACAAACATTCAGCAAGGGTCACTAAGTATCACTGAGTGCCACTGTTTCCTTATGGAGAAATTCAGTGACACGCCTTGGCTTCATACGCGCTTCCATGTCAGACACCATTTTGTCAGACTGCCCCTCTGCTGCCATCTGTCACACGGCAACAAGATGTAATGGAGTACTGTTGGGAAGGTTCAGCCTCTACTGCCACACCACCACCATCTGCCTCTGATGCTGTGGGCCAGCAACATAAAACATGAGGCATTACTTTTGGAGTGAACCTCATACTTGTTTTCAGATGCTTTTAAAACATATATCTCTGACATTACACGCATATACAAAAAATTATGCCACCTGGATATCTAGAGTAAAATGCAACATAGCAACATCACGTCTTTGCCTACCCCAGTTTCAGTTCCTGCCTTGGTTGCAGGATAAAAGAATTGTTTTTCTAATTAACACATTAGAAACATGAGAGTAAATGAGAGAGATGTGTTGGTCCAAGTAAAAAAATATTTTTTGTGGGGTTAAGAGTAACAAAAGGCACACAAACAAAAAGAAAAAAGGAAAGGGAGGGGAAGAGGGGAGAGGAGAGGAAAGAGAAGGGAAGACCAACAAACCCAACACCTCATTCTGCTAAAGGCAGCTTCACAATTCAGATGCACCTGGAATTCAGGGTCTACTGGCTTTCTCATCCTTTGAATGCTTGTTCTACAGCCCCAGTAAAGCTTTTGAAAGGCAGATTTTGGGGCTGAAAGTTTTACATGCAGCTAAATCTCAGTAACATATATCAGGACAAGACTGTCAAAAACATTTATTACTATACAAAAGAATTATGAAAAAACATCCAGTGCCTTTGAAATAGATGTCAAAAGTAGTCTACAGGAGTATCGTTGCCATGAATGAGTTGACTGAAGCCTCAACAGGCAACACAAAATGACAAAAATAAGTCTTAACCTGTCTTCATACACTACTGAATGACAGAAGCAATTCTCTAGCCATTACTGGAACCAAGACTTTTGACATTTGACCAAGACTTTTTGTTGACATTTTGGACACGTCAACAAAAATCTTCTGAAACTTTTCAGATCTCTCAATCTGTCTAACCAGAATGGAAATGTAGACCAGGAGGTGGCAAGCATCATCTGCATATGGTTTTGGCTCCAGAGTATCGGTGACTCTTCCATAACCAGGATGCAAAACAGTGCCTTTCAGCACCGCTATGCTGCCATTTCACCAGTTGTCCCTCCCTCTTTTGCTGGTAATATGGACACATATAATTACCTTATGCAAAATTCTTTTGAAATCTCAAGCTACTGAGAGGAAAATAATGATGTTAAGTTTGGATGTCCCCTATTTTGCCGTGGAGACAGGCTCTCTTGTACTACCAGCCCTGTTGTGTCTAGCCTGCAGCTATTAACAGTAAGCAGCTGTGGATAATTCAGCACAGAAGAGCACTGCACTTACTTTGCCACTGAATACTTACTATCAGATTTCTCCTCTGTGAAATCAGCTTTAGTGAAGTTGATCAGTAAGAGACAGCAAGGAGAAGCAATGCTATGGTCAGTTCTTCCCTTGTTTCAGGATGGCTCAGGATGTCTCCTTTCTGGAGACCACAGCTTTCCTTCCATCTGCATGGAATGCCGAGACAAAAGGCATCCAGTTTGCCATGATCTT